AAGGAACATTTGACATACATAATTTTAAGAAGAAAAAAAAAAAGAAAAAAAAAAAAAGAAGAAAAGATGTCTCTGACATATCAGGATAGAAGACAATGTATCAGTACATCACACTGTAAGGTTTCACAGGACAGTGGAAAGAGGGAGCAGAAATGAGAACTCATCCTCAGCAGGAGAATACATGTCCGTAGACTGTTGCTGACAGTGGTAAGGCTCAGATGGGGGAACAAAGATCTACCCTGACTGACAGTGAGCTCAGTTAAAATGCCTCTCAAAGAAGTATAAACACAAATATTCCTCCTGCTCCTATGCTCACACACAAAGCGCCACTGCTTCTGCTCAAGACCTGGACAGACAGATCAGGAAAAACTTGGGGTGATGCTCACTGCTTAGCAGCTGTGTTACCCACACATAGCAACCCCCTGCCACCTCACGTTACAGAGAAGGATGATGAGCTTCCAGCACAACAGATGAACTACCTCTGGCTGGCTGCAGAGCAGGAGTGGGTACACAGGTATTTATCCCAGCAGGGCCGCAGGTCAGCACCCCATGCTCCCCTGGGAAGTTGCATCCCCCTCCCCACAGCACAGCCCAACAGCTCCACGGGGGAATTGCACCATTTTGCCCCTTTCATCCCAGCATCTTGCCAGCAGTGCCAGCTTATAGAAGCATCCAAGTGGGTATATGTAAGAGGGAGAGCTGCCCTGTGGCTGGAGGGTTGCAACATTAAACTTTATCAGGCTTCCTTAACTTTTTGGTGTCATCTTTGGTAAGGCTGATGATTCTTGCTGCTGGTGCAGCCAAGCTGTGGATCAGTGGAGGATGAGGTCGTAACAGGGAACACCAAGGCAACAGGGAAATCAATGTACAATTAGAAAATAAGGGTAGGCAGTAACTACAGCTAACCAGCTTTGGAGACAGGAATGTTATCTCAACTTGAAGTCTTTAGGGCCATATATATTCCTTCTAGGGTTACACTGCAGAAAATGCATACTTTTTTCATCAGATTGATTTTTTTTTAGGAAATCAGTAACTCAGTAAAGCTGAGTTTATCCACTGTTGCCTGTCAAAAAGAAATTGTTTCCTGAATACAGGGCTAAAACAGCGGGCCACAAGGCTTCCCTCAGTAGACCAGCATTTTTTACTGCTTCCTCAGCCTTTTTTGCACTTTTCCTCTTGTATACTATGCCTGAACATTAGTCACAGGGGTCCAAATAGCCACAAAGCTTCTTTTTGCCATGTCCCTACCTTGTTTTGCATTAAGTTTGGATGTACACTGTTGGTACCAATATTATATTATAGAAAGAGTTTTTAAGATTGCTCTGTTCCACGTTTTAAGTGAATACTGGTGTGTATTCTCACGTTTGATTAGCTTCTTGATCATTCTATCACAAATTTGTTGGGCTTTTTTCCCCCTGGGTCTACAAACTTTTGTTTGGCATTTTCTCATCCAATCAACCACATGAGTAAGACTTTCACTTGGAAGGGAGATAAAGAACCAAGCCTTGTTTTTAATTACTTCAATTTAGGAAAAATTTGCTGCAAGAGTCTACAGATGGAGTTATGATCATATCTTAATCGAACATCTGAGTCCACAGTCTTAGTGCATATGCCAGCAATGCTGGGCCATAATTAAACAGCTATTAAAGTAAGCACACGGTGACCTACTTATCTCAATTATACATCAGTTTTGCTTCAAAAGAGGCTCTTCTGAAAAATCAGGTGTCCGTCTTCCTCAGGCTATACCACCATTGAAGATCCAGCATGAACACATACCAATTAGGTACTTCACTCTTACCACCTTCAGCACGTCCATATCTCATGCCAACCAGCTCTCTTCCTAACTCAGGTTTGCTACACCTCACACATGCACACAAAATCACTCTCCAGAGCAACTTAAGAGTCGGTGTGTAGCATGGGCGTCTGTGCTTGTGTCTTCTGATTGATGCCCAAAGGCAGAGAGATGCTTTGAAGACTACATGCAACGCACAGCAAGGTGGTTCTTCGGTAGCATGAGCCAGGAGCCCTCGGACCTGGGGAATCGGAGCCCACTGCCCTGCAAAGGGGAACGACCCCCATGTCTCTGTCCAGCAGGAACTCCAGCCAGCCAGGAAGGGCTCACTCCATCAGAACCCAAGGAAACGCACCCTGCCAGGTACCTTCTTAGTGCCCAGCACACGCTGCCCCTTTTCAAGCACACTCTAGCCTGGTAAACCAGCACAGGGCCCGTAGGATCCCAATGCCTTCCAAGTGAGATTAAGTTTTAAACCACTTTTACCTCCAGAACATACTTTGCTGAAGTCCAAGAGGTTATTAACACTGACAGAATCTGCACAACTCTGCCTGTACAGGCCGGTCGCTGTAACAAAATTCAGCTGCAACATAAACGCAGGAACAATCAAACTTGTTACTGCAATTCACCAAGTAATTTCAGGTTGTAAAACTGAACAGACGGCACTTGTGAGCTTTATTCAATATCTTGGACTTTTTAATTAGATTCCTGTTCAAGTCAGTCTGCTGGTCTACAGCAGGAGACCCCAGGTTTCAAAATAACCCTAGGAATCCCATTGCTCTGTCTGATAGAAACCACTACACCAGGGACCTGCTGCAGGCCCAGCTCCTGCTGCTTCCACCCCAGGAACCAGTCAGCAGGTAATTAAAAGAGCAGAATTAAAGGGATAGTCCAAAAATGCAGCTACGCCTTAGCCAAAATGCAAATTAATGCTGTAATGCACCACACTGCTTTATAATTTTAGGATGTTCTTAGTATGTTTATCATTAGGAATCAGTATGCTGTAATTTTCTCTTCCATGTCTTCACATGGTTCTCAAATTCACCTTCTGCTGCCGAAAAACTCACTCTGGGTTTTCAATGCTTTTTGCAAAGCTGCAGGTGATCACCATCAAAATGAAACAAAATGTACTGGTTGGTAAAAGCTTGAAGAACTTGCAAGGCAATAAATAGCGCACCCATCCCCCAGCACTGAAACATGGCAAAAACCACAGGCAGGCTCCAACAGTTGTGGGACCCAATGCCCCAACAAATGTTAAGTCTCATTAAATTTTAAAATCAGGTCCAATACTTCCTTTTACCAATACAGACCAAACAAAACAAAACAAAAAAACCCAAGCCCCCAACAGATTGACTGGCATGACACTTTTTATGAGTGTTGCAGTGCATAACATCTCAGTGACACTTTTAACCTGAGGCAATAGAGCATGGCACAACATGCTGGAACAGTAAGTCTAGTTGTATCAATCACAATGGCACAGCATCACAGCTGTTCTTTTATCAAAATCAGTTAGAAGTTGATTATTCTGAGGTTGTTTGCTTGTACTACTTTACCTTTTTGAGGAGAGAAAACTCTGTAATTCAGAAGATCTTCTAGACTTTTGTAATCATGTTCAATATAACACTGATCACTCCTGCAAACGCATTTTCATTTTATAATGTATCCTGAATGTATAAGCTAGCATTAGAAATAACCTGTCTGTTTTAGAAAAGAATGGGCCAAATACTCTGCTAACCAAACAACAGCAAATGCAGAGCTTGTTCATATTTACTTCTGTGGCATTGGTGCCCTAAGTTCCTTCCAAGTGGCAACTCTAAAATCATTACAAAATGTAGCAATGCTTTATTATATTTTGACTTTAAAAGACATAAGGAGGTTACAAAATAAACCGAATATATATATATTATTTTTTTGACTGTTCAAATATCATATAACAACCATCTCTAAGAGCCACCTACCTAGTGTGTGTGTGAGTTGGAAAAAAACCCTGCAACTTAGAGCATTCCCTTGTTGATTCAGCACAATTTTTCCCCAAAGTATTTTGTCAGGCAAGAAAAGCAATACTGTCCTAGCACAGCATAAGACCAAATCTCTCTGGAACTGCAGCGCTGGCCAGTGGATATGTTTAAGATCACATCGGACAAACTCCTGGGGAATGAGGATGAACTGGATGTGTTGAGGTCCAACCCTGCTAGGACTTTGTGATGTGCAGAATTGCCCATAGGCCTAAACTTCCTAAAAGGTGGATTTGTCAGGGTTGCACAGTGGATTCCTGCTAAAAAGTCCAAACACGTCTGCATTTTGTGTTAACTAGTAGCATACATGGTGTAGTGGACAGCATAGTATTGACGACAATGTAGGGTTTCTTCAATTAATAACAGCAAACAGTCTGAAACAATTAAAAGTAATGAGATGTTGAATACACACTCTCATCACCTTTTTATAAAACATCATGATTAAGTCTTTAAAAATCTCTAAAACAGCCCCTCTATTTCACATGACAAAAATAAGTGGAGTGGAGGAAACCTGCCCTCCCATAAGCTCAGTCACACCAGGTCTTTGAAACCCTCAACCAAAGCATCTCTCTCTCTCATATGCCATGCGTAAGATTTGTGACTACAGCAGAAAGACATCTGATGATCACCAAAACTAAACTTTAATGCTGCTTTGTCCTTTGGGGGCAGTGAGACATCAGGAGTAGGGCATTTCTTTGCCGGTAATTTGCTGTATAATTCTGGAATGATGCAGTCTACACAAGAAATTGCTCATCCATTCCCTCTCCTTTGACAGAAAGACATCTACCACATCATAACACTCTTAATAGCTGGGCAGGGAAAAGCCTAAACCCCTCCCTCTCCCTCCTTAAGTTAAGTATAGAAAACTGCATCTGTGCTATTTACAGATTTGGATGCTTGTTTGGACTGAAGCTTTGTAAATACAACTTATTTTGAAGTCAGAGGCATTAAGAGTTGGATGAATGCCTTGAGAGAAACAATTCAGATAGCCTATGTTTCCCTCAGCACTGGTGTTCACTACTGGTTGACTCTAAAATCTCAAAGGCACCCAGCCAATATGAATGAAATGTTAAGACCCAGGGACCAAAGCTGATTTTAATCTGATTGTATCTGGACCTTGGCCTTTAACTGCTTCATAATCCAATTCATACACTCAGAAATTAAAAAAAATGACAAAATACAAACAGACAAACCTGGAATAATTCATTTGCTCTCCACATGCCTTGTTTCCCTCTGCATCCTATGCTGAAAGCACAGAGGGTGGGTAGGGTGTACTCTCAACACTGTCCTTGCCGCTTCATGAGCTGAAGACTTTTTTGCTGGAATTCTATTCTCATAGCACCAGGCAATCTGAAAAACAAAAACTGTTTTGTTAACACATGTATCCCTAGATACATTAGAAATTAGTTTCATTCTGACCCACTGCCAACTAAATAATTAACCTTTCCCATGCAAAGTCAACATTCACATGCAAAAAAAAACAGCTACAAACATCTCCACTCAATTCATACCTCACACGTTCTGCATGCAACACTAAGGCGCAGCAGCTAAAAACTTATTTCTGTATACAAATGGAAGTCAGAGACCGGTAACACAAGACATTACAAACACGTGATTCAAGAGGAGTTTTTGTTAAGCTGTCCAAGTTTCCATCTGGGAAACACACAATCAGGAAAGGTGGCTTGAAACAGGCCAGCACCATCAGAGTGCCTTTTCTACAGTGATGGCACCAACCACGAACAGTGTCTGCACCACAACAGGACTGTAATCCATGGAATACCACCTTCAGGTCTGTTCCCATATGTTTTTATTTAAAGCTTCTCACATCCCAGACCTGGACAGGCTATCAAATTCCAGCCAGGACCTTGGCAAAATAGCTGTGTGTCAGCTACAAAGATCTTCGATGTAAGTCTTCCTACACCAGCCAAGCCAGGCTCTGAAAAGCCAGCCACTGCTTCGGAGCAGACCAACACCACCTGAAAATGGTAAGACAGAAGGCACAGCCGCTCTTCTTGTTCCATGCAAATACAGTGAAGATAGTATCTAACTGAGCTCCCAAAAGCTGGCAAGGAGAACTCCACACTCCACAAAGTCTGTCGTTTTCATGCTGCAAAGTGTCAGACTGTATTACAATATTTTCTGTGATGTTTAAATTGGCACAGCTGATTTTCAGCAGCTTCTTCATGGCACACAGCACCTTGTCATAAAAATACCCTTATTTCTACAACAGTTAAACTGACATACCACAGAATTAAAACTAGCACAAGAATTTTATCATACTCATGCTTCAAAAGGCAGATCTTACTGAAAAGCCTGGTGATGGAGTCAGTATACAACAAAAGAGATTCTCAACTACAACATTACATGTAAACACATAGAATAGAAACTAGGGGTTACTCCTCCATCTAAAGCTGTCAAGCATACAAATAAGGCAACAAAGTACTGGAAGTTTTCTTTTTAAAAGGTTACTCAATGGAATTAGAGCAAAGTCCCAAACTGACTTCACCAAAACCAAAGGATGTCCCATTAAAATAAAATGCAGAAAAAACAGCAAATAATACAAGTTGGAAAACCACCTCATAAAAAGGACAAATTAACAATGGGCCAGCAAAGTAAAGAGCAGTATCAGGCTGCAAGTTACACCCAAGAGGAAACATGAGTAAGAACGTGTAAGCAATATTTTTCTTAGTTGTTACCATAAAACCGCTTGTAAAGCTCCAAATACAAAATAGAGACTTGCTTTGCTGGTGTGGAAGGGTATGTATCTATCTACACAGAACATTTACAGCACAGACTACCAAAACCTTCCTCACCATCACTGTAAGAGACACAGAGACAAGCACTGCGAGTGTCACAATGATGGTGTTCAGATAACACCGCCGTGACCCACGTGTCACATATTCCTTCTGTCACAAAGTTCATAGCGCTGCTACCACACTGATGTGTATTTTTTGTCATACTTACTGTTCCTACACAATGGCACAGCATAGATCCACTCCTCTGAAACACAGCACTTCCTTCACCATGGTACCCAGTTCCCGAACATCAGCAACTAAGACTCAAAAGACTTGGACAGTAGCTTGCTCTCGCCTGCATGATTGCAAAATCCCTAAACTGAGAAGTGCCTCTTTCCTTCCCATGTTCCAGGTCACTGCAGAGATGCTCAGGCATTTTCCCTTTCCTGCTGGAACCACATTTCCAGCTCTTCATAGATGAGGCTTCTTTACTGATGCTTTGAGAAACACAGAGTGAAACCTATAAAGTTGTTAAATGCAAGACCCATGTCAGTATATAAATGTCATTTCAACAGTGTAGAGTTAATCTCTGTCCTCATGGGCAAACCTGACTCCTCTGAATTTTTGCTGGCCTATAACTATAGTGGAAATGCAGCTGGCTGTTAGCTAATTACAGCTGTGGTGACCTCACGCTACTAACACTCAGTCATCCCAGATTTGTAAATGTACAGCTAAAACATTTCAATCTGCGCAAGAAGGGGCAGAAATTAGAGCACAATGTTTATAGCCGGCAGATGGTGTACTACTTTTGATAGAAAAGAACCAATTTATGGCAAAGTAATACAAGATCTCCCTACCAGTCAGGTCTTACTCTGAGACTTATAAGGACGATATCTTGCTCTGTCTGAAGAAAACTTCCTGGCCAGGGAAGAAGGCCAGATTTTCCAAAGTGTTTCCAGCACTCCCAGCAAGCTACCTCTCAGGGAGGTCACGATGCTCCCCTGCAAGCAGTCCCTCAAATGTTGAAGGTAGTTTGCCATGGTGAATCCAAACTTTCCAGCAATGCTCTGCTGGCTCTGTGATACCCGTTTCCCCATATCTACACAGTCCTGAATGATAAGGCTTAAGATAAAGAAAATCTAAAGGGTAGGACGTTGCTGCACACATATAGAGGTTGACCCAATCAAGCATCTCTTTATAATAGGTTAGGAGAAAACAGGCATCTTATGCCGATGATCTTACAACACTCGTCTTTCCCCTTTCCTAAAACAAGTCTTTTAATACTAAGGATTCTCACCAAATTTCTACTGAGGGCAAAGCACTTCTGAAGGAATCAATCTGGAAAAAAAAAAATCCATCTTTCATGTGTCAAAAAAAGAGGAAAAGGGTAAAAAAAACCAAAAAGTAGTACTGTTATAGTAAACCTCACACATCCTAGACTAAGATTGAAGCCCCCTGTATACTAACAGTGACAAAACCTTGTGCACTAAACACGGCAAATACAACACCATAGGCTCTGCCATTAAACTAAGGACAGGCAGGTAGGCATATCTGTGACTGTTTTAATAGAATAGACTAGACAGTAAGTGCTATGGTACCAGAACTTCAGTTTGTCATTCACACTTTCGTTTTCCTGCTGAACAGGAGGGTACACAAAAATAAACACCAGCAAATGGCTAGCCAGTATGGCAGTGAAGTAAAGACACTAGTATAAAGATACCATGGGTCCTTCCAGCTCTATTGTAAAATAAGAGTGAACTATGTTACATGTTCAATAGCCACAGTCAAGTCACAGATGCAATTCCTCAATTGCTATCCGGTAAGGGCTGTACAAACTCAGGGTAGGTGCCACCTGCACGAGCAAGGAGCAAACACCAACTGTTGGGGGTTTTCTCTGGGTTGACAAACATCTTCAGCACAAACTATAGCCCCTGATTAAAGCCTGCGTACAATGAACAGGTGCTGAGCAGTTCAGGAACACAACCCTACAAACACCTCCATTCATTTCAGCTGTAGTACATCTCCTATGTCAAAAGGGAGGTATGAGATGCTACCAAAGCTGTCAGAAAGGAAGCAGAGAGGTGACACTTGTTCATGTGGTTCCGCTGGAGGGTTAGCTGCTTATAGCCAAACAAATGACAGCACAGTGCCCTTCTACAAAGTGCACTGCAAAGAGCTCTCCAGGATAGTTACGTGCGGTGTATACACCCAGACCTTGACTTCTCAGTCATCAGACAGGAGAGAGTTTTTAACTTCTTCTGTGACATCTATGTTCAACCAATAATGACTGAACATTTTAGCACCTATTGTAGCTTTCTGCAACTGGCCATCAGCTTGCTGCATGTGGTTTTCTTGCATTTCCATCCGACCCCTTCCCCCTGGAGAAACTTGGACATAGTCTGCAGATCAGATGTAATACCATGGAACAAAGCTCCTGCTTACAGGGAAAAAAAAAAAAAAAAAAAAATTCCACCATGTTTTCAGCCCCATTGAACAACCCTAAATGTGCCAATGTACTAGACACACACATTCAACATATATCCAGTACAAGCAGCAGCACAACTCCTGTGAGTCCAGGCTGCCTGGTGACACACCAAGGACCAGCTCTGCTCCCAGGCAGCAAAGCCCCAGGCCCGCAGGGAGGGACCATTTACTGAGTGCATCCATCCAGCCTGCCCGCAAAGGCAGGGCTAGGCCACAGGGTGCAGCTCTGCCCAGAAGGCAGAAGCCATCTGCACAAGGAAAGCTGGACCTCACTTCCCTGTGCCTGGGTGTTTGTTTTGGAAAATTTCATGTTCCCAAGCAGAGTTTCAGGATCTACCCTAACTGCTCTGTCAGATGCAGAACTGAGCCAAGCAGGTATGTATGTCTGGGATGACCCAAGGCATTTCTTATCCCACCTTTCTTGCTATTTTCAAAATATATTTCTGAAAGCACTTAAAAGTATTATTTTATTTTTGTTGATGATTTACATTTCAGAGGCAGCACATGAATAGAAGTGCTGACCTTTTTCCTAACCTTTGACTGATTCTATGAGAAAAAGGAACACCTTGTTAACATTACTTACCTTTAATTCACTGGTTCTACACAAAACTAATGAACATCATCTAAAGCCTCTAACTCTCTACTCAGTAGTTTAATTAGAAAGATGATCACTGATTAATCCACTTGAGTTACTCTGGAGAAGGTGTGACTGAAGAGAGATCACTCCACCCCAGAGAAATGTGCATTAATTAGTTCTGCATTAAACTGTCTTCCTCTTTATTGAACTTCAAGAGAGAGAGCAAAAACCACAACACAACAACAAGAAAGCAATCTTTCAGTGTTAAACTTCTGAGGTATTTTTTATTTTACTTTATTCTTTAGGAAGTCTTACATTTTCTTGCCTTGGATTTCATAGCCATCTATAATTTTTTGAATTATTGTGTTTTTACAAACTAAACAAGCTAAGGCTGGAGGTTCAACATGCATCTTCAAAGTCCTGCCAAAGAACTGCAGTCATGAATTAGTTGGCTTGGGTAAGCAATGAAGAATGACACTGATACTTGATAGGAATGTGCACAGTATTACGTACATACCACAACTGAAACCAGGTATACTGCCAACCAGCAAGTG